TTTGTGTCCCCCAAGTGCTGACGGAGGCCACGGGCTGGATTATCCGCAGCGCAGCCAGGCTGCAGAACGCCCCGAACTGATGAGCCAGCACAGGCGCTCGCTCGAGTGCTCCCCGCAGCAGGATCGGCGCCCCTGACATTGCGCATCCAGGCCCCCGGCCAGAGCCCCCCCACAGCCACGGCCATGGGCCAGAGCCCCCAGACCCTTTACCTGGGAGGGGCTGGGACCCACTTTGGTGCCACCACCATATTTCCCTAAAAAACGGCCCAAGGGAACAGTGCCAGGGGCTGGGCTGGAGCTGGCTGAGCCCAGAGCAGGGGGGCTCCCCCCACCCCTCACAAACCAGGGAGCAGGACCCCAGCCAGGCCGGTCACCACCCCAGCAAGCACCCTGGGGCAGCAGCTCCCCAAAACATGTCACCAGGCATCCACGGGTGTCCCCAGCCCGACACCCCACCTCTCACAGCAGAGGCAGGTGCTGTACCTCCCACGAATCGCATGCAGAGGTGGGGAGAGTGTTAGCTCTGAAATAACGGCAGAGAAAATGGGGAAGTGGGAAGCAGACAAAGCTCGTCAGGGAGGGGGGATCCCAAAAATCCTCAAGCGGCAGCTCCAGCAGCCCCCCACCCAGCGAGAGGGGGTCAGGCTCCAGCAGAGGAGGCAGGCCCTGGAGAAAGAAGCAGAGAGAGCTCCCTGAAGGGAGCTGCACAAGGCTAAGAAAATGATTTCACACTATTTCAGGAAAGTTTGGAGCCTCTAACCACCAAAAATTAGGTTTCCCAGGTCTGCACAGCGACTGCCCCATGCCAGCGTCCCTCCACGTGCAGTGGCACACGATGGCAGGACAGATTTATCCTGCAAGTCTGCCCTAAAAAGACAGCACACTCATATTTCCACATTTTCTTTTAATTGACAGTTCTGGGGAGAACAGTTCATTTCTTCTTCTCCACATCCTGCTCTGCCGCTTCTTTGGCGCGTTTCGCACGAATCCCGAAGAGACGGGCGTTGGCCCGAGCCATGCGCAGGCTGGCAAAGGCCTTGAAGTTCTTCTCATCTTCCGAGATAACACGGGCCTTCTCCCGCTTGAAAACCTGGTGGGAGAGAGCGCCAGACAGTCAGATGGCACATCAGAGGCTCCCAGAGAAGGCTGCATTTAAAGCTTAACGCAATTAATCTCGTTACATTTCTACCACTAGCTCCAGGATGGAGCCGATTCGAGAACAGAGCGTTTATGCCATCGACAGGCCCTGCCCTTATCATCACTCCACCAGGCACTGCGCTTCCACCGGCTCCGAATTCGCCAGCACACGTCAGCGCCAGACCAGAACAGAGCAGGGAGAAAACAAGCACAACGTGAAATCTGAGTCAGGCTTGTGGCGCGGGATCAACAGCTCCAATCGGAAGCAGCGAGGTTTAGAGACGGACTGTGACGGCGCAGCACCGGCTGGGCTGTCGTGCTGCCAGCACCCCCACCCGCAGCCCCACGCGCCCCAGATTTCGCAGGGACCAGCTCCCCCAAAAGGTACGAGGGGACAAACCACCCCAGCGCCTGCCCCAAGGACACGGCGCTGAGCACTGGAGACGCTCCACGTGCGCTTTAGGTTTAGCAGGGCTCCAAGTAACGAGTTCTTTGCCGTCTGCTCTGCGACGCTGAGGAACCACACAGACCCAGGTCCTCTCGGACGAGCCCGACCTGCTCCTGGGTCTCTCTGACCCGGGCCGGGAAGGGTCTGGCGACAGCAACCCCCGACCGCAGAGCAGCGAGGAGAGAATCCTGCCCACGAGGTTTAAATCTCAGTTACACCACCCAGGGAACGTGCTTTAGCCACACTTACATTCTTGATCGGCATGACCGGTCCTGTCAGCTGTGTCGCCATCTTGAGTTCCTCAGCCTGCACAGCAAGAGGACAGAAAATATTATTTAAGAAAATAGTATTTAAAACTCAGGCTAGGGCCTCTGTCAAAAACACGCCCTGTACGCAGGCACCCAGCTTCAACACGCTGCCAACACTTCTGACTGAAGATTTAACGCCGACGGGGAACCAACGCAGCGGTTCGGCCACGCGGCTCTGGCAGCACTTGCCACGGACACGCCGCATCAACGCCCCATGTTCTGCCTGGCTACCGACCAGCCCGGGCCCGGCCAGAGGAGCAGCAGCCTCACAGCAGCTCTCCCAGCTGGAAAAACGTTGACACCTACTGTGCCATTTTTAGTTTCATACCCAGCGTGTTCCTCTGCAGTTCCATCTAAGGCTGATTCCAGCTTCTCGTACGAGTATGGCATCACACAAAAATGATTCAGTTTCATTTCAGACAGATGATTTCAAATAAATAAATTCAAAATAGTATTCCAGGCGCAAATATCTGTACCGACGGGTGCAGAAGCTCGTGACCCTGCTCTGAGAAGCAGCCCAAGCACCGTGGGCTCCACGAGAGCAGCCTGGA